GAAACCCTCCCTCATTCTCTTCAATTCAGCAGCACGTTTCGACTCCTTCTTTGGCTTAACCAGTGTTAACATATAAGCAGGCACTTTCCATAAGAACCCTAAATAAGGAGTTGGCACCGGAGGCTTCTTAACCGGAGGAGTATATGCATTAACACATGCTACATCGATCCCTAACTCATCCCATTGTTCCCAAAACCTCTTATTACCCTCTAAAGAAGGCAAGACCGTTCTCAGTACCTGAGAATCCTCCAAAACTACTAACACAGGTTCTGCCTTTTGCCTCAAACTTAAACCTGAAGGCTTTATCAAATGCTTGAGCTTACCTTCAGCTTTTAAGCTCAAAATGTCGGTGTAAGGTATACGTTTCGAAACTACAGGTAGACCTTTGGACCAAGCTTTTAGCTGTTCAAGCGTCCAAGCTTCTTGAGGTTTCTTCTGTGTTTTTTTCCTCTCCGACGCCTTTGTCGCCGCCGCAAGCGATGGTTTTGCAAGAGAAGCAGAGATTACAGTGAGTGTGATGGGTATTGCGAGAAGATTGACTTGGGTTTTCTTGGCTTTTTCGTTATCGTCACCATCGTCATGAACATCACTCGTAGCTGAATTGTTCTGACATGAAACTGAACGGGAATTTCTGGGTAATCTCAGGATTCTCGGATGGTTCTCCGACGAAAGGAATTGAGAGTGTAGCGATGAATGTAGAGGGAAACGACAAGCCATGATGCAATACGATCAAAGTAAAAGTGAATTCGACTTACATGAAGAAGTGAATTGCAATAAACCAAGCTCGAAGAGAGAGATTGACCGCCATTAAAACTCAGAAATAGAGCTTTGTGCAGTCTCGAGACGCATTTCTCAGGCCAAAGAAAGAGATAGAAGAAGCAGAACACAAATACAGTGGTAAGCTACAATTGCTTCTTAAAGCCCAATAATACAAAGTCAGGCCCATTTAGCTCTCAACCTTGTAAAAAGGTTAGGCCCATTTGACGGTCTAAAACGCCAAAAATGAAGGGCGTTCTCGAATCAAGACGCGGTTGATTTTTTTAATATTTTGTGTGTAAAGCATTTTTGTCGTTTATATGGAAATCAGTCAACAAAATTCAAAAACTTTGGAATTCGAAGATTCGCTGACATCGATTAAAAAACAAACAAATTCCAAAAATCACCCATAAGTCCATAACATAACATGATTATTGAATGATGAAAAAACACCACTCGTACAAAAGGGTAAAACGGTAAAAAATTGTTTTAGCGGTCGCGTGAGAGACGGAGAACGTTGAGAAGAGAAGAAACGGCGAGGAGAAGAAACGCGAACAAAGCGAAGACGACGGAGATAGCTAAATGGTCACAGAAAAACTCAAGAGATTTGCAGAAATTAGGGAGAGGCATGTGTCTGATTCCTGTTCTGTTCATATTCGTTACTCCTAAAGCAGCAGAGCCTCCACTAATCATAGCATATCCCAACATCTGATCCGCAACGAAACAGAACCATGCTTGTGTTCTTGTCGGAATCACCGGAAGTTTTCTCATTACTCTTGTTCCACTTATAATCAGTTGGATCAATGAGTAAAGAACCGTCGCTGATGAAACCACCAATAGATATCTGTAAAAAAACGACCACAATTTGTGATGATTTCTTGTACA